CCCCAAAACCCCAAAACCCCAAAACCCCGTGTTATTCTATTAGTTTAAATTCATCTTTTTTATTAATCAATTACCATCTAATTAATATAACTTTGAAGATTAATTATCATTACATTTTGCCTTTTTATCTTAAATTCTGAATTCTAATCAAAAGTAATTTGTTGAGAACATCTAATCTCGACTCAAACGTATTCCCGAAATCATCTTCATCTTCATCATCTTCTTATTTGATATCTTAATCCTATTCCACTTTTACTCCAAGAGCCTTTTTCAAAGCCTTGTAATAGAAATTTCTATATCTTAATACGTCAGCCTACAAGAAAACTCTGATCACAGTTTGTATTGATTTCTCTTCAAGTATTAATTTATCAACAACTTCCTACACATCTTCTGGAATCTCAAAACCTATGTATGATCTCAGGATAATTGAATACTCTTTAAATTCATCTTCCATATCCTCTAGGATTTCAGTGTCACTATCACTGTATTCATTTTATAGATCTATATAAGCTAGATATGCTAGCAATCTTCTCTTTTAATCTACTTTATCTGTACTAATAGATTAAAGTAATTATTTGGCATGGATAATACTTTTAATGCCCTCTATGTTTAAATTTTTGATATACCCAACTAATATTTAAGACCTTATGTCTGACTTTGATAATTTATCCTCCAGCTCTATTTATTAAATATGCTCTAACTTGTTTCCTAATTCTCCCTTCTCAAATATGTACTGAAGTGCTCTAAGGTAATTTATTCTTTGTAAAACTTATGGGTTATGATGAAGGCATTCGTGCCTTGAAACGTATTCTTCAATACTTAAGTGCAAGTTATGGAAGTTGTATTGGCATAAGGGGTTTTCAATGTAGTTTTTATACTGATAATACATATGTTCACTTAGCAAACATTTAGCCTTTAATATGTATAATGCATCTTGATAAGAGAGATCCTCATTCTTATAAGATTCTAGAAGATTGAAGGCATTTTGCGCTTGCTTGATTCTATTCTCTTTCCACAAGTCTCTCATCAAATAATAGTAGTATTGAATGCTTAATCTGTTTTTATCAATTTTAAGTTTTAATATACTAATGATATCCTCCATTACTTCCACTTAGGCCTTATCTTTGTTACTCATTTTTATCTTGTATAAACCAAGTACTTAAAACTCAACATCCATTCTTAAGTCTATTAACTAGTCTTGACTCAGACCTTAAATAGTTGTGAAACTTTGGGTAATTTCTCTGAAATTTTTTAACTCAAACAAATGCTTAGTCATGGTGAAGGCATATTCCCTGAAATAATGCTTGAGATATCTAAGAGGTGGGTATTTGATAAGCATAATAATAATTTTCTTAAAAAGTCTCTAGTCTTGTTCGTTAAGCTCAATTGACTGATTAAGATCAATTACATTTTACGGAGTAACATAAACTCTTGGGTATATGCAGAGTAATTAGTCATCAAATATATCAGTTAGTTAGGATGGAAAATGCTATTAAAAGATATAAGGTGAGGATTAATTATCAAAGTCTTCGAACATATCCTCAGCTCTATTGTAAATAGCAGTGATGTGATTTCTAAACTTAGTACAAAGCAGTACCTAATATAACTTTGTTTCTTCCCCATTTTATATCAAATAATCACAGAAATCTATTACTTCTGTAGATCTACCCACTAGTAACTTAGCAAAGAACTAGCATAACTCACTTGCTGGCATAGCAGCTTTATTTCTAAGCTCTTCTAATACTTGAAGAATTTTATCTTCAGCAATCTAATTTGAATTTCCACAGAATATCTATATTTTTTCCAAGTACCATATAATCTAATTCATAAACAGTGCCTCTTACTTTTATACGATATTTTAATTTTTTGCAATCATAAATTTATCTGGATCTATGCTTTCCAAACTGATTCTAAGTTTCCCTGTATGACTTTAAATCTAAAATATCTTATCATCAAGTTAATTATCGACTATAAAGATCCTTTTCCTCAAGAGATACTCATATATCTTAGTAATATAGAGACAATTAAGCATTTGGCTCTCAAAGATGTATTGCAAGCTTTTATAGTATTTATTAGACTTTAGTTCTTCATTTTAATCATGAAGAGTTCGCTCGTGCTTTTCAGAAATTACATAATATCTATGAATAGGTTTATCATAGTTAACCATATTGAAATCGATTACATCCTCATATACTCTATTCATCACATCATCATTACGCATTAACCTAGTCATCTAAGTTTGATAAAGTTTGGCAGCTACTCTCTTTTGATAGTCCTCATCATCGTGGTTAACAATGACAGATAACTGTAGATTAGGTATTAAATGCTTTACCTAGAACTCAGACTAATTATTCCTCATCTAAATGTACTTTAGAGACTATATATCATTAAACTATATTGAATTCTACTTGTAGTACTCATGTATTTCTGAGAAGTCAATGTACGTTATAGGCTCTTCATCATCTGCTCTTTCTATTGTCACTTGACCTTTGAGACAGTTGCGAACTAGTTTATTCATATCGTTATTGAATAACACTCTGAAATCTCTAATTACTTTGGGAGACACAACGCCATAATTCTCGATAAAAATGAGTTTATCGCCACTTATCATAAATTCCTCTATGTCCTCTAGAAAGGATACCTTGATGATATACTTATTCTACAGGTAATACTCAGCATTCATCAGGTACAGTTCTTCTTAATTCTAAACTGTAGTAGTAGTGTCTATATTCTACTCATCTATTTATTTCTATTTGTTTTGCTTGATATAATCATAGATGTATTTTGTCTCTTCATCTAGTTACTTTAGGAATGGGTCATCCTCCTCAACTTATTAGTCTAGGTTATGCTAATTTTGGTTCATAGATTAATTTGAAACAGACTAGTCGCTGTTTATTTATGTGGTTAATAACAAATCTGAATCTGCAGCCTAATCTTAGCTGTAGTTTGGCGGGGGAGGAGTACAAAAATCTTAATCTTAGTCTTGAATTGAGTTCTCAGTGAATTGATATTGGTTTTGATTTTGCATGTTGTGATTTGAATTTATAATTTATACAATTATTTTACAATATCTTATATTGCTGTCAAACTTTGAGCTATGGGGTTTTGGGGTTTTGGGG